GCTCACGCTCAAGCTAACTACTATTGTGCTCACTGCCCTCCACGGCATATTTGTTTCCTGGCCAGTTATTTACAGGCAGCTGAGTGCTCTAGCTATCGCTAGGTCTAACGGCTCTAACACCTGTATGGCTCCTCTTTAACCAGAGGATGGCCATGATGGCCTCGAGCATCTGAGGGAGGGCCTTTCGGAGGACCCGTGCATGAATTGCACCATCATGCCTCGTGCGGTAAGAGCTGCCGAGGTTGAACTACTGACTGAGGGTGGCCTTCCCCCCGCACAGTCGACTCCAGCCCAACCTACCCATCCTAGGCGTTGGGCCGCAGAGGCTGCGGGTGCACCGCCCAAGAAGAGGACTAAGCCTGATAGGCTGTCCTCCAGGGTGGACCTACTCACTACTGAGCTAGCCCAGATGAGGTCACTCCTCTTGGCTCTCCATTCCCGAAACAGCGCCTGCCAGTGCGTTCTTTAGGCGCACTCCGCCACCCGCCACCCGCACTGTTCCTCCCTCTTGTGAGTATCTGAGGGAGTTACATGCATGCTGGAGGGACACTAAGGCTCTTTACAGTCTTACGTCCGATGGCCGAGCCTTGGTAGCCATGCAGGATGCGGCAAGAGTTGGCCTTGACCACACGCCGGCTGTTGAGCCTACCATTGCTTCCCTCATAGCTTCCCCTGACGAAGCCCTGAGGTCGGAGGCCAGGTGCCCTCGACTCCAATGTCGGGTTACTGATGACCTGCTCACTAAGGCTTACGATGCAGCGGCGCGCATGGGCCGTGTAGGCACCTCATGCTCGCCCTCTCAGCTTCCCTGCAGCAGGATGCTCTTAGCGCTTCCTTAAATCAAGGGTACAAGCTTCAGTTCCGACGCTGGCCCCAGTCTTCAGCCGGGTCAAAATGACCACCATAAGCGACCCGGCAAAATAAATCGCCCTAAACCAGGAGCTGTCAGTCCTCCTTGCCAAGGGTGCAATCGAGCCTGTGGACCCCATCTCACAGCCCGGGCTTCTACGCGACCTACTTCCTGGTAAGGAAGAAAGGCGGTGGACTTCGCCCAATCCTCGATCTGAGGGGACTCAACAAGTTCCTAAGGATTTTACCTTTCCATGTGTTGAGCACAGCGGACGTTCTTCGTACCGTGGCCAGGGGGGAATGGTTCACGTCCGTCGACTTGAAGGACGCTTATTGTCATGTGCCTATTGTGCCTCATCACAGGCAGTTTCTTCGCTTTGCCTTCAGAGGTCGTCATTTCCAGTTCAGGGTGCTCCCATTTGGACTCTCCCTCTCTTGGACGACTGGTTAATCTGTGCACCATCCCGGTTACAGACGATCCAGGACACGGCTCTCCTTCTCTCTCATGTCGCCCGGCTAGGCCTCAAGGTGAACATGGAGAGGAGTTGTCGGAACCCCTCTCAGAGCCTAACCTTCATTGGGGTGGCTCTGGACACAGTCACTCAACCAGCGAAAGCAGTGTTCTCGCCCCCACTCCTGGTAGACGTGATGCTTTATTCTAGCAGCAGCCGACTGGATAAACCGTCCTGCTAAAACTTCTTGTTTTTTCCAGCTAGGTGAAGGCAGTGCTCTCGCTCCCGCTCCCTCTGCTGGTAACATGGGTGTAGTTACTTCCCTTTTGTGTTCGGCGAGTAGGAGCATTGCTCTACTCTTTCCGTTCAGCAGGTAGCTGGTGAAGGCTGTGTTGTCGCACCCCGCTCCCGCCTACGCTGCATCTGGCATTCGTTATTAACTCAACCAGTGAGGGCGGTGTTCTCGCCCCCGCTCCTGATAGACGCGCTGCTTCATTCTAGCAGCAGCTGCCTGGCTAGGCTGTCCTGTTAAACTTCCTTGTTTAACCCAGCTAGGTGCGGGCCTGTCCATCTGCTGCACAGACTCTGCTGTGGGACGCCTTGGCGTCTCCCCAACAGGAAGGACCTCTTGTCTCAGTTGGAGGGTCGGATGTGGCACCCCGACCCCTGCCACCTCCAGCTGTGGGTCTGACCACTGGGCCCGACCCACTGCTGAGCGACTGCATAGAGTCTGTCAGGAAGACTATTCTCAAATGCTAGGGCACAACCTACTTGTAGGCAGTACGAAAACAGGTGGAAACTGTTTTTTGACTGGTGCCAAGGGCGAAATGAGGACCCAGCATATTGCTCGGTACCTACGACCCTTGAGTTCCTTCAGTCCCTCCTGGACGACGGCCGGTGTCCCGCTACCGTCAGGGTGTATGTGGCTGCTATATCAGCTCACCACGCAAGGGCTGACAACAGCACAGTGGGGAGCCATAGGCTGGTATCCCTCTTTTTAAAGGGGAGCTCTGAGGCTTCGCCCCCCGAATATCCCAAGGGCCCCTACATGGGACCTGCCCTTGGTGCTGGATGCCCTATGCTTGCCTCCTGTTGAACCTCTGTTACAGGCAGAACTGAAGTGGCTCTCAGCTAAGACTGCTTTCCCTCTTGCCATCACCTCAGCAAAACGTGTAAGCGAGCTTCAGGCCTTGTCTGTGAACAGCTCGTGTCTGAGGTGGAACTCAGATGGCTCAGGTGTCACCTTATGGCCGAACACAGCGTTCCTCCCTAAGGTGCTGGCACGCTCTCATTTTAATCGGCCTATCCAGCTGGCACGGTTTGACCCCCCATCAGGAGAGGGGGAAGAGAGGTCGAGACTCCTATGCCCGGTGCGGGCCCTTAGAGCTTATGTCCAGACTACCGCTGACATGCGTCAGTCTGAGCAGCTCTTTGTGTGTTACGGTGGTCCTAGAAGGGGCTGTGCGCTCTCAAAACAGCGCTTGTCCCACTGGATCGTGGACGTCATTGCCCAGGCATACAAGGCGAATGACCGTCCCTTGCCACCTAGAGTAAAGTGCCACTCTACCAGGAGTGTCTCCACATCATGGGCGACCTGGAGAGGTGTGCCCCTGGAGGACATATGTGCTGCGGCCACATGGGCATCTCCGAGCACATTCGCCAGATATTACAGGGTGAATGTTGCCGCCCCTCACCCGCTGGGTGTGGTCCTCCTGCAGAGTCCGTCTAGGCCATCCTTATAGGTGAGTATTCAGACTTCCTTGTGACTCTGTTGATATAGGTCATCCAGTGCTAAAGCACCGCCTCTGGTGGTCAGTAAGTATGAAATAGAACGATAGTTACGTATGTAACTACGGTTCTATGAATACTGGATGACCGCCAGAGTTCTTGGTCACTCGGAATTTCGTGTTTCTGCGAGAAGATTCCATAGAACTGAGCCCGTTGACAACACCGGAACTTATACCTTCCGGTGTCATACGGGGTCACACGTGACTTTGTTGATATAAATATTCGACCTACGCATGCGCGAGACAGAAGATATCCAGTGCTAAAGCACCGCCTCTGGCGGTCATCCAGTATTCATAGAACCGTAGTTACATACGTAACTATCTTTTTCAGAGCAATGGGACGTCCTTTCCTCCGGAGCGTCACGTGAAGCCACGTCCGTTTGTGATGACGCCGCACAGCTGATCGTCTGACAGCAGCTCTGTCCACGTTATTTTCACAAACACCCCCGCCTCTGTTAGTATACATTTACTGACACAAACATTTGTATCATCTGTTGTAGACTCAAATACATTAAATAAGAACTAATTCTCAAAAAAGATAAACGCCATTCTTAAAATGTAAAACGAACAATAGTTGGATTAATATTGATTAGAGTGCACAATAGAAATAAAATAATTGAGAGAAGAAAGAGAGATATGTTATCTATCAAAACCCAGTTAGATTAACATTCATTGGATTGCACACTGTGTTTGTTTGTGTGGATATGTAGCACATTAACATGTTAAATAGCACTTAATGACTGACTGAATGGAAATGACAATAAATGAAAATGTAAAACGAAAAAGCGATCATGAAAATGTTTCCAATAAATGAATAAAATGATTTTTGAGCACTTTGTTGTTCAGATATATGAATGCACCTGCCCATTGCCTGGAAAGGTTAGATGCCGCCTATCACAGTGCTCTGAGATTTGTTACTAACTGTAAGGCACTTACTCATCACTGTACCCTGTATGCCAAGGCAGGTCTGCCTTCACTTACTGGTCGGAGGCTCAGTCATTGGTACATGTTCATCTACAAAGCCATGCTGGGTAAACTACCTTCTTATATCTGCTCTCTGATCTCACAGAGAGTGGCAAGTAGCTATTGCCTGAGATCCCAGGATGTGTTCTTATTACATGTGCCAAGTGCTAGGACTGTTTTAGGTACTAAAGCTTTTATGTGCGCTGCTCCTCTAGCTTGGAACACCATGCAAAAAATATTGAAACTGAGCATTTTGATTCCCTTGCATCATTTTAAAGCACGGCTGGATGAAATGTTATTGGATACCTGTAAATGTAAATAGGTTGCTAATGTATACCCTTGTAATTATGTTGTGATGTCCTTTTTGTTTTCTGTTGTTTTTATGTGTAACTAATGTACCGCAGGTCTCCCTTGAAAAAGAGATCGTTGATCTCAATGGGATTCACCTGGTTAAATAAAGGCTACAAACAAACAATATATCACATATTTGTAACTGAATGATGCATTCATTGAAACAAAACACAGTATAAACTGAGGAGTGAGTCCCGTGAGTTTCATGTGTTTTCTTCACTCCGCTGGGAAATTGCTCTCATGTCAAGAATCAACAGATCAGTGCGCTGCATCGTCCAATCAGTGAGCGATACACAGTAAGGGGGCGGGGCGAGTGTCTGAGGATTTCACCGGAGGATGGTCTGGTGGTTCCTCGGTTATCGCTCCTCCATTATCGCTCCTCGCTCCTCGCTCCTCGCTCCTCCGGCAGAAATAAGAGCCATGGGACGCTACTCAAGATGGCGCAGACAAATCAACTTCCGGTGAGACCGAGACCGAGGAGCGAGGAAATGAAAATAGTCGACCAGCTAAAGAGCCGACGAGACGCAAAATGGTTCCGAGAGGGGACCGTCACTTCCGGTTTCAGGACTTCAAAATAAAAGCACGAAGGATTTCCTAAGGCAATACCATCATATCTTTTTCAGATGAGATAAGATATGCTTTTTATTGTTTGATGCAGAAGCATGTTAAAACAAGGCGTCACACATAGATGGAAACATAAGCAGAACATAAACAAACATCAAATATATATTTCTCAAAATAGAAAATAAAACAGAACTAAGAGTAAGATATAAAAACGATTTATACCATCTGATAAAAGAACAGTATGAAGGGTAAACAAACACCTCCGACCGGACCACCCCGACTGATCTGTATCCCAGCAAGCTCGTGAGTAAAGACTTATCAACGAGGCTTCTCCCGATACTGTCTTCGTTCCCTCGCTCACAACACGCGGAGACAAATGCTACGAGGGTTTGGACAGGAAGCATCTGTCAGAAAGATTCTAAAAGTGCACGAAGGCACACACACATGACAAGTTAAGCTATCCACGCTGGTGGTCCTGTGTGATGGTCCCAGTGGGCTTGTGGTCCTGTGTGATGGTCCCAGTGGGCTGGTGGTCCTGTGTGATGGTCCCAGTGGGCTGGTGGTCCGGTGTGATGGTCCCAGTGGTCCGGTGTGATGGTCCCAGTGGGCTGGTAGTCCTGTGTGATGGTCCCAGTGGGCTGGTAGTCCTGTGTGATGGTCCCAGTGGGCTGGTGGTCCTGTGTGATGGTCCCAGTGGGCTGGTGGTCCTGTGTGATGGTCCCAGTGGGCTGGTGGTCCTGTGTGATGGTCCCAGTGGGCTGGCGGTCCTGTGTGATGGTCCCAGTGGGCTGGTGGTCCGGTGTGATGGGCCCAGTGGGCTGGTAGTCCTCTGTGATGGGCCCAGTGGGCTGGTGGTCTGGTGTGATGGTTTCAGTGGGCTGGTGGTCTTCAGTCAGAGTCGGTGATGTCACTGATGCTGCTGTCGTCAAGGTTACCGGCAGTGTAATCCCTAGCAACCAGCTTCGACCTGACGGCTCGCTTCCTGTTGTCATGGATACAGGAACAGACACTGTGACGACTGCAGAAATATTCCAATTTAATAAATAAAAGAATCAAAGACTCACCTGAAATTTGGACGCCTTCTATAGGTGAGACAGCCACCGGTCTCCTCGTCCTACAGACAGACAGACAGACAGACAGACAGACAGACAGACAGACAGACAGACAGACACACAGACAGACAGAGAGAGAGACAGACAGACAGACACACAGACAGACAGACAGACAGACAGACAGAGAGACAGACAGACAGAGAGACAGACAGACAGACAGACAGACAGACAGAGAGACAGAGAGAGAGACAGACAGACAGACAGAGAGACAGAGAGACAGACAGACAGACAGACAGACAGACAGACAGACAGACAGACAGAGAGACAGACAGACAGAGAGACAGAGAGACAGAGAGACAAACAGAGAGACAGACAGAGAGACAGACAGACAGACAGACAGACAGACAGACAGACAGACAGATATTAATATGTTGTGTTTAGGTGGTTTTTCCTAGATTTGTGATTCTTTAGTGATTTAAACAGGAGCAGAAGCCTCAGGTAGAGTACCCATGATGCAGCAGTGCTGGGCTCCTGCTTGGACTCAGCGGCGCCCCCTACAGGTGGGTTATGTTTCTGCTCCTCGTTCTCCCCCGACGTCCCGCTGCTGCCTGAACACACAACAGGAACACATTCACCTTTACGGCTGTTGGAGGGGAGCCTGAACGCACCATCGGGCCTAAAACCCTAACAACAACTCTGGCACAGATGAAGTGTTTTACCCTCAGATCCTTTCCAAAGCTTCAGGGCTTCAGAGCCACAGCTACAGCACGGTTATGGCTACGAGCATCTTCAAGGTCCTCTATTATACCCTCATTCAACCATATATCACAGCTCTCAGATGTAAACAGAACCTGTCTCTGATTGGCTGAAACACAAGGGGGTTACCTTGGTTGGTGATTGGCTAAAGACACTCACCTTTAGCACCGCTCCCTGTGGACTCCTCCTCCTCCTCCTCCTCACTGCTCCTCTCCCCCTGAGAGAGGGAGCATCATGACATCATCATGACATCATCATGACATCATCATGACATCAACATGACATCATCATGACATCATCCTTACATTTCATTTCATTTCATCATCATTACATCATCATGTCATCACCCCCCCCCCCCCCCCCCCCCCTCCTCACCAGGTGAGTGTTGCAGGTGAGTCTGCGGAGGCGTGTCCTCAGCTGTAACTCCTCCCCCTGTGACCTCAGCAGCAGCAGCTCCAGCCTATCAGATTGCTCGCTGAGCTGCCTGACCTGTTCCCTGCACTGATCCTTCTCCTGGAGGAGCAGCCGCGCCTCCTCCTGCTGCTGCGCCCGGGACGCCACCGCCTGGAGGAGAACCACATGATAACAACAGAGCCTGGAGGAGAACCACATGATAACAACAGAGCCTGGAGGAGAACCACATGATGACAACAATAACAGCCTGGAGGAGAACGATAGTTAGGTCTGTAACTACGGTTCTATGAGTCCTGGATGACCGCCAGAGGCGGTGCTTTAGCACTGGATATGTCCATCGTGCGCATGCGCAGCTCGAGTACCCGTAACAACAAAGTCACCTGTGACCCGCGACACCGGCTATATCTGCTGGTGTCGTCAGAGGATCTGTTCCCAGAATCTTCTCGCGAGCACAGAAGAATTCTGAGTGACAGGATACTCTGGCGGTCATCCGGGACTCATACATATCATACAGTCATTGAGCCACGGCTCTGAGAGAACTTTGGTGCGTCTAAGCGTAAAAGGAGCAACAGAATCCAGTGTTAGGGTACATGTCGAGTCAAACATGGAGATAAGCTCATCAGCACTAAGAGCACAGTTCACCTCTAATTTACAGATCGGAGAAGCATTAAAAGCATCAGAGAACTGTGAGGCAGTCAAGGGGTTAATCAAACGCAGACGACGCGCAGGGGCACGTGATTCGACTCCTGCGGAAGGGATCGAGGTTGTAAACAGAACCGGTAAATGGTCTGAGATACGCGTTTGTGGTGGTCTGTGGAGTCCTCAGGTGGTCAGTGGAGTCCTCAGGTGGTCTGTGGAGTCCTCAGGTGGAGTCCTCAGGTGGTCTGTGGAGTCCTCAGGTGGTCTGTGGAGTCCTCAGGTGGTCAGTGGAGTCCTCAGGTGGTCTGTGGGGTCCTCAGGTGGTCTGTGGAGTCCTCAGGTGGTCTGTGGAGTCCTCAGGTGGTCAGTGGAGTCCTCAGGTGGTCTGTGGAGTCCTCAGGTGGAGTCCTCAGGTGGTCTGTGGAGTCCTCAGGTGGTCTGTGGAGTCCTCAGGTGGTCTGTGGAGTCCTCAGGTGGTCTGGGGAGTCCTCAGGTGGTCTGTGGAGTCCTCAGGTGGTCAGTGGAGTCCTCAGGTGGTCTGTGGAGTCCTCAGGTGGTCTGGGGAGTCCTCAGGTGGTCTGGGGAGTCCTCAGGCGGTCTGTGGAGGGAAGTCCTCAGGTGAGGAGCAGCTGCACAGAAAGCCCGATCCCCCATTGTGCGGAGTTTGGTCCTCGGGGGGCGAAGCCGATGGTTGGTTGTGGAGCGGAGGTTGCGTGTGGAGGTTTGAACTTTAATATTAGTCAAATATGAAGAGGTTAAACTTTAAACATCCATGACTTAAACACTTTATCCAGGATCAAAGCCACATAGCTGCACCTGCAAGGTGAATACAGCTGGTAACAGAGAAAGTGTTTGAATGCGTACATTAACAGGTTTATGATATCACTGCCCCGTCCAAGACACGATCTGACTTTCATTACATTTGACTCCAGTGTTTCGTCAACTTAATGTGTTGCTTAAAATAATACTTCTGCATCCAGTATGTGACACTGTGAGTGTTGCACGGCCAGATACGGCTCAGCTGACTCAGATAAGGAAATATATGATACATTATGATGTGATGTGATATGAATGATAATGGGACACATCGACGTCTGCACTCACAGTGCCGCGGACTGTACGTAATGTTACTCTGATCCGGTTACTTATGTTGTGGCAGATATTTAAGTAAGCTTTCTTAACGCTAATATTATAATAGTCAGATTGCTCTGAAGATGGGAGGGGATATTCTATTAATGTTCACGTTCACACAGTCAGTTGATTTTTGCCGGCCGTCTTTCCTGCAACGGCAGTTTTTCTGTATTTCCTCTATCCTGTAATATGACTTGATCGCTTTAAACTCCGCACACTGAGCTCTGATTGGTCAGCAGGCGGTGCTTTCACTGAGTTGATCTCTTAGCCTGCAACCTAACCTGCTCCGGACCAGGTTTGCCGCTCAGCATCAGTTACCATGGAGATCTAGCCCGCTAAAAAGAGAACCAGCGTCGTAGGACCGGAAACCCAGAGTTTACCCTGAAGTTAGCTAAGAGAACATCCGGCTTCGTAGTGCAGGCCTCTGGAGGAGAACCACATGATGACAACAATACCTTGTCTCCCCCCTCACTTTGTCTCCCCCCTCCCCCCTCACCTTGTCTCCCCCCCTCACCTTATCTCTCTCTCTGATCACCTCCTCCAGCTGACGGAGGGTCTGTTTGTTTCGTTGTCGGTACATCCTGGCGTCTCCTTTCAGCTGAGCGGAGATCAGCTCCAGCTCCTCCTTCTCCTCCTCGCTCTGAACACAGAGGGGGGGGGGGGGTCAGCATCCCAACACAAACACACAACAACACAAACACACAACAACGCCCCTGCACAAGCTTTAAAGGTCTCCTGTCCCCCCCCTCTCTTCCAGCTGTTACTAAGGACATGTCTCTGAAGTGTCCTGCTCCAAACCCCAAACAGATCCTTGTAGCCCCCCCCCTCTCTTCCAGCTGTTACTAAGGACATGTCTCTGAAGTGTCCTGCTCCAAACCCCAAACAGATCCTTGTAGCCCCCCCCCCCCCCCCCCTCTCTTCCAGCTGTTACTAAGGACATGTCTCTGAAGTGTCCTCCTCCAAACCCCAAACAGATCCTTGTAGCCCCCCCCCCTCTCTTCCAGCTGTTACTAAGGACATGTCTCTGAAGTGTCCTCCTCCAAACCCCAAACAGATCCTTGTAGCCCCCCCCCTCTCTTCCAGCTGTTACTAAGGACATGTCTCTGAAGTGTCCTGCTCCAAACCCCAAACAGATCATTGTCGCCCCCCCCCCCCTCTCTTCCAGCTGTTACTAAGGACATGTCTCTGAAGTGTCCTGCTCCATGCCCTTATGAAACAAAAATATATTGTAATATATTGGTAAATATAATACAATATACTGGAGCATACATTTCCATATATGGGAAAGTAGTCCTTATATTTTTAAATATATTGCAATATATGCATGGCCAATGTATGGCTATATATTGATACATATAAAAAAAATATATTGCAATGAAAACAAAAACTGCACTATACATTTATATGTAATAGTTTTATTGAAACACTCATTTATCTTTCATGAGTTACACAAGTTTACATAAAATTGAACAGATATTCATAAACAGTTATCTCACTTCGTTTTGTATAGTTACCCACTTTATATATGAACATATGTTTGATGGTAGCCTATATATTAAAAAAGTACAAATTGTCCATTGAATGATGCAAAATAATATACAGTTTATATATATATATATAGACACACACATATATGCACGCATATATATATGCATATATGCACGCATATATATATATATGCATATACATATAAATATGCATATATATATACACATATATATAAATATGCATATATATATACACATATATGCACGCATATATATATGCATATATTACGGCCGACCGGCTATTTGGAGTGGAATGCAGCCCACCCACGGCAGACAGCCCAAACAGTATTCGAATGCGCCACTTCCGGCTGACAGTGGCTGACCTCCGTCTTCGCTAAACATAACTCTCTAAAACGTGTTAACGTTCTCATTGGACACATTACGTGCCAGTGATCATCACCAATCAATCTCACAGATTTCGGGGAGGCCCCCCCCCTCTCTAGCAATAGATTGATCTGATTGGCAGATTCAAATCTGCGTTGCCGCCTCTGTCTGTTGATTCTGTCGCTGAGTGTCAAAGAGAAAGCATTCATCAGGTGCTTCGAAACGGAAAATTAAAAAGAAACGAGAGGAAAATACAGCACCAGAGTCAGGTATGTGTGTGAGCATTTAAAACTATTTTAAATTGAAATAATTCTGCATGTACACTACAAGTAGTCTAGTTGCTTAATCCGTATGTCCCGTCTCTCGGCACTACACCAGCTACATTAGCTAACGTTAGTTAAATTAGCTATGTTAGTTCCCTCGTGTATAAGTGTATAACCGGTCCGCAGCTTTGTGAACATTCAATTTCGAAGATTTTCGATGTTACAGTCAACTGAAGTCGACCCAAAACAGCCAAAAATAGCGGACCTTTAGATCGCTAATATTTTAGCATAAGTCAATGGAGTTTAACATAGCGAAAACTAGCCCCGCGGCTAACGGACATTTTCTGACTGGTGAAGATGATGAGCTAGTTAAGTAATGTAACCACAGTTAGTCTATGTGTTCTGATGTTAGTAACTATGTAGGCTAACATTAGTTAGGCTATGTGTTGTGGACTAATGCATTCAAGTTAGTTCACATTTTAGTTGTTATTGCCCCTGCTGACAATTGTGTGGATAATATGTAGCCTACAGTCAATGGAATTTCACATTTTGCTCTCCAGTCTATGTTATTTTAATGTTGATCCATAATACTATATATCTATATATTTTACAGGAGCATTGTTGAAATTCATAGGTCGAACTAAGCCTGCAGAACCACAAGTCAAGAGGACAGAGGAGCCAGATAGCAGTGGTGACTGAGACAGAATAAATAAGGAGAGAGGGCCCATGCAGAGGCAGACATCAGTAGTGAGAAATCAGACCCAAAAGACACGAGGACAGAGGAGCCAGATCGCAGTGGTGAGGAACGCACTGTCATTTCATTTCACTGTAATTTAACTTTTCACATATCACTTTATTCACTATTCAGCTTAGTTATCCTTGCCATGAAGGATTGAATGGATGAATGTTCTATATTATTTTAATGACAGATTGAACCACAGCAATATTGTTTTAGAGATTGTATATGTTTAACTGCTATGCCTGTCATCTCTGCTCTGTGTCATTGTGTTGTCTCCTGGGTTCTGTAGTGCCCGGAGTCTGTCTTTTTATTTTTTTCCTCCCAAACCCCATCCCCTCAGGACGCCTTTTGCCTCCTGTCAGGTCATCATTGTAATAAGAATTTGTTCTTAATTGATTTTCCTGGCTAAATAAAGGTTCTACTACTATTTATTCAGTTATTTTATTACTGGTACTGCTAATTGCACTATGCGTATTGTTGTGTATTTTATATACGTATGTATTTACTACTACTACTTACAAAATCGAGGGTTGTAGCTTTGTGTCAGTACATATTTCAGGGTTTTTCTATGCCTTTGTTAATCTAAATTCTAATACTCATAGGCGACTACAACTCCTGCCGATGCCGAGGCCCAGTTCTCCCTTCCCACCACCCCAGGCTCATTGTGCTAGGTAAAACTCTCATTCAATAAAAGTAGTCTTTTAAAGGTGGGGTAGGTAATTTTGGAGAAACCAGCTCGAGATCGCTAGAATTTGAAAATACACAGCCGGAAAAAATCTGCCACTTCCTTACAGAGCCCCTCCTCCAACACACACAAACGCGCACATGACCAATGAGGGCACGAGATAAGTGTGTGCACAGATGGAAGGCTGACAGGCAGGTAGGCCATCCAGTCATTTCAGCCGGGCCGGCTCAGATGATTGGTCGTGCTTTTTACAGTACTACAGCTTCCACAGATGATATTTATTTATGGATTTGTTGTCAAAGCACTTCAGATATTCATTGCTATCGGGATGTTAAGAACATTCCATGGAATATAACAAGTGTATCTCGAGCCGGTTTCTCAAACTTACCTACCCCACCTTTAAAGATGAATGCAATTACATTTAAAAAAGTTTTAAACAGAACTGTTACAGATGCAGATGCTTGGTCCAAATTCCATAAAATATACCAACCAGTAGCGCCACACTCAGACGAAAATGTACAAAGCCTATTCTTCCACTATTTGTATTCCCACATTATTCACCAAGCCAGCCCATGCTTTAATATAGATATTATGGATATTGTTATAATTCCTGCTGTCTTTTGTGAACTTCTAATTATTTGTAATTGTTCTGTTCCACAGATGCTGTAGTAAACCACCATCCAGGGACCAAGACATCAGATATAAGAACATCCATTAACACAAGAATTTGTGAGTTAAGGCACGAAAAAAACAAGATGGACGATTAAATAGGGTACAAGACTGTTTGGCCCTGTTCCGGACATTGTTTTAATGAGTGATCAGCTCATGTTTAAAGTTGTCACCAGGTGAAACAAAAAACAAGATTGTTAAATAGGATAACAGACTGCTCTTTTTGGCCCTGTAAGAAATAACAATGCATCATTTATTAACTATACCTATACAAAATGTAATATATTTTCCCTTCATTATGTAATAACACCTCCTTTTGTAATAATTTGCCCATTATGTAGTAAACAAGTTCAATGCAAATATGTAATACATGTCGCCACATTTTGAAATATATTATTACATATTGCTGTGGTTATTACAAAATGAGTTGCAAACAATAACATTACAACTGTTTATCTATTTATTCAACCATGAATCATCCTTACTCATAATTTAAAAATATTTCAGTAGAATATCTTTCATTGGCCAAAACTAGATCAAGTGTTACCATATTCATTAGCCAACATGTATATCAACATCAATTTTGGGATATATGTACAGTTTGGTTATGGTTACATAATGATTATTACAGTTTTTTAAAAGGGCAACTCACGCATTTTGTAATAACCATTGCAAAATGTAATAATTTATTACAAAATGCAGGGAAATGTATTTTATATTGCGTTCAGGCTGTTACAGACTGCAGCAGATTATTACAAAATGTGGGTTTTATTACATAATTACATGAAAATGTTCTTGAGTCATTACATAATGTGTTGTTTATAGGCCTTTTCTTTTATTCTTTCCTTGTCCTTCTTTTAATGAGTATTTTGATAACTGTTACACATTGATAGAAAAAAACAAATTAAGCTTCTCATTATTCAGACTCAGCGCTTAAGCTTCTTTTAAATGTTGATAAAACCAAGGTAATGCTCTTTTCAAAAGCTAAAAAGACACCAGAGCCTGTTTTAGATATTGTAATTACGCAAGGACAAGTACTCGAAGTGGTTACCTGTTACAAATACCTTGGTATCTGGCTTGATGATTGTCTCACTTTTAAACGTCATGTCAATAACCTGCTTAAAAAGCTGAGGGTTAGGCTAGGTTTCTTCTACAGGAACAAGTCCTGTTTCTGGCTTGAGGCCAGGAAAAGGCTCTGTGACCTTTTGACCTGTACTGGACTATGGTGATCTGATCTATATGAATGCACCTGCCAATTGCCTGGTCAAGTTAGATGCTGCGTATCACAGTGCACTGAGATTTGTGACAAACTGTAAAGCATTAACCCATCACTGTACCCTGTATGCAAGGGCTGGTTTGCCTTCGCTAACTGTACGGAGGCTCAGTCACTGGTACATTTTTATATACAAAGCCATGTTAGGGAAACTTCCATCCTACATCTGCTCCCTGATCTCACGGCGAATTGTAAGTGGCTACTGCCTGAGATCGCATGCTGTGGTTTTATTAAATGTGCCAACTGCTAGGACTGTCTTAGGGGAGATAGCATTTAGATGCGCAGCTCCGCTAACTTGGAACAGTCTGAGCAATTTGGTTCCACTAAATGTTTTTAAAGCAAGGATAGATGCTATCCAATCGGAAACTGTTGGAACCTGTAAATGTTACTAGCTATGTAAACTGTAGTCACTGTAAATATGCTGTATGATGTCCTTTTTTGTTTTTCTGTTATGTTTATATGTATTCATGTGGAACCTACTTGCAGCAGGTCACCCTTGAAAAAGAGATCAATGATCTCAATGGGATTCACCTGCATAAATAAAGGTTTGAAATGAAATGAAAGATTTTTTTTATCAGAACATGCATTTCTCCTCATTGTGAACATATATTGCACTCATGTTCAGAATATATGGTACGTACATGGTCTTTTATAAATCTGAATATATAGTGCATACATGTCCCCATATAATTGTGAATATATAGCGCATACATGTCCCCATATAATTGTGAACATATATAGTGCATGTCCCCATATAATTGTGAATATATTCTACATACATGTCCCCATATAAATCTGAATATATAGTACATACATGTCCCCATATAAATCTGAATATATAGTACATACATGTCCCCATATAATTGTGAATATATATAGTGCATGTCCCCATATAATTGTGAATATATTCTACATACATGTCCCCATATAAATCTGAATATATAGTACATACATGTCCCCATATAAATCTGAATATATAGTACATACATGTCCCCATATATTTGTGAATATATATAGTACATGTCCCCATATAATTGTGAATATATAGTACATACATGTCCCCATATAATTGTGAATATATATAGTACATGTCCCCATATAATTGTGAATACTACATACATGTCCCCATATAAATCTGAATATAGAGTACATACATGTCCCCATATAAATGTTAATATATAGTAAATGTATGTTCACATATATACACAACCAATATATTATATATATTTACATATATTACTCAATATATGGAAAGCGGCAATTACTGATGTATTATCCCATATAATGCAATATATTAACACAATATATTATTCTATATATCAATATATTGTAATATATTAACACAATATATTATTCTATATATCTTCAATATATTTTGTAGATATGAATAAATATGTTTTTCATGTTGATTATAAATCAGTATCAGTTGGTGTAGCCAACAGCAAGATTTCCTTTATTAAATCTTTTCAATTAACCAGTAAATCAGAAAACAAAATAATGCAATATATTGACAGTTAATATATGGGGAAATATATTTTCTTTGCGTAAACAGATCCTTGTAGCCCCCCCCCCCCCCCCTCTCTTCCAGCTGTTACTAAAGAGCTGACTCTGGGTCAGTAGCTTCAGAGAGAGAGTAGATCTCATCAGGAGAACTCTCCCAGCAGAAACTCAGCTAAATGCTGCCGTGACTAAACTCCATATCATGTTCCAAACCACATCAAGGATTCTCTCTGAAACAGTATGGAGCTCAAACTCTTTCTCTCTCTCAGGTTTACCACAAGGTGACTTCCTTTTGATTTCCTGCTTCTTCACACATGCTCTCTCCAGTACAGGTTAGCTCTGAGTGTTAGCATGCTAATGTAAACACAGACCATATTACTTCCAGAACACGTCTCATTGTTTCCGACAGCAACGTTTCTGATTGGCCCGGAGGAAAAGAGAGAGGGGTTTATTTCCTGACACTTTGTGAGTCTCCTGATACACCGGGGACACACCGGGGACACACCGGGGACACACCGGACACACACCGGGGACACACAGGGACACACCGGGGACACGTGGTGATGTAGAAAAGACATCATAGTGCATTTTGCATGATAGGAGACCTTTAACAACACTGCACATGTATTACTTTATCCTGTGTATATATACTAACCCTCCTCCTGAGGCCTCCTCCTGAGACCTCCTCCTCCTCACCTTGACTCTCTGCTCCTCGGCTCTGTGGAGGTCTCTCCTCAGTCTCAGCACCGAAGTGAGGAGGTTGATCTGTGGAGGACTGTCCTTCTCCTGCTGTTTCTCCTGCTGTTTCTCCTGCTGTTTCTCCTGCTGTTTCTCCTGCTGCGTCTCCTGCTGTTTCTCCTGCTGTTTCTCCTGCTGTTTCTCCTGCTGTTTCTCCTGCTGCGTCTCCTCCTTCTTGCCCTCCTGTTTCTCCTCCTTCTTGCCCTCCTGTTTCTCCTCCTTCTTGCCCTCCTGTTTCTCCTCCTGTCTGTTGGGGTGGAAGAAGGTTTCTGTGGGCAGAGCCAGACTCCTGCTCTGAAAACACATTTCAACAGATCATGGTTTCAGAAGTCTGTTCTTAGTCAGGAGGCTTGTTTGAGACGAGCGAGACCTGCGCAGACCTGCGCAATTGCGATCAACGTCTTGCTAGTGCGTTGCATGATGGTTAGTCATTTTGTCCAACTTGCTCTGGAGGCTCGCCTACATGAGACGTTGAAATCTCGCGGGACAAAGACGCCCGCAGACTTGAGAGCGAGGCGCGGCGAGGCGGCGCAGTTTCTCTCCACGGGCTGCGGAAGCTAAATGCTTGATGGGAAACGACTTGCTGGTATCTGGAGCTGAGCGCTCATTGGTGGGTTTTACCCCGTGCTGGAGATGAAACTCTCCATTGGCTCAAATGTATTTACTTAGTACATATCTGACATTAACGATTAAACACATTTGTGTATTCTTTATAAATGCAAACCGAGTCCAGCCGACCCCGGAGGTGGCGGTATGCACCTTAAAGTTGTTTGCAATCCGCCAAAAAACCGAGAGAAGACGAAGAAGAGGAAGAAGCCGACTCCGAGCTGTCCGACTTCAGGCGAGCTTTTTGAGACCTCCCCCGGCTGCGATCGGCTATTCTCGTCTACTTTCGAGGCGAGCCGTAGCTCGTCTCAAACAAGCCTATGATCTCCTCTCCTGTGTTCATGATGGAAGAGGGTCAGAGGTCAGAGGTCAGAGGCTAAGAAGATATACATGTTGAATACAGATGTACAGTAACAAAATATAAAGCAGGATATTATATATACCAAAGTATTTGAGGAATTGAATATTAGGCTCACCTCCTGCAGCGGTCTCATCGTCCTGCGTGTCAGGAGTCGAGTCTGACTCTCAGCGCGCAGCACGGTGTGTTTCAGACGCTCCACCTACACACACACACACACACACACACACACACACACACACACACACACACACACACACACACACACACACACACACACACACACACACACACACACACACACACACACACACACACACACACACACACACACACACACACACACACACACACACACACACACACACACACACACACACACACACACACACACACACACACACACACACACACACACACACACACACACACACACACACACACACACACACACACACACACACACACACACACACACACACACACACACACACACACACACACACACACACACACACACACACACACACACACACACACACACACACACACACACACACACACACACACACACACACACACACACACACACACACACACACACACACACCCTTGTGACTCTTCACCTGATTTGCTGTATTCACTGTTCCATGTCTGATATGTAGTGATGTAAAGCGCTTTGAGCATTCGGATAAGTGCTCTAATAAATGTAATGAAAAACAAACTAAAGGAACCAGCCTGTTTGGAACATGTAAGAAGTAGAAAGTACAGGTATTTGTGTTCAACATGTAAGAAGTAGAAAGTACAGGTATTTGTGTTCAACATGTAGAAAGTATTGGAGTAAAGTACTGATACCAGAAACATGTACTTAAGTACAGTAACGAAGTATTTGTACTCCACTACTTCCACACACCCAGGTGAGAGGTGGTGTGTGTGCTGTGTGCAGGGGGGGGTCTCACCTCGACCTGTAGGTCTCTGTTGGCCAGCAGCTGGCTGCTCCTCTCCTGGCTCAGCGTGTTGATGTCCCCCATCAGGCTGTAGTTGTGGTCCCGGAGCTGCTTCACCTCCTCGCTCAGACGCTCGCGCTCCTCTCGGATCTTATGAAGTCTCTCCGTCAGCTTCCGGAGCTCCCGGTCCCTCAGCTGCTGCTGCTGGGACCACACCTCCTGAGGGACGGAGACATGGGGTTAACCATCAGAGACAACACCTCCTGAGGGACGGAGACACAGGGTTAACCATCAGAGACAACACCTCCTGAGGGACGGAGACATGGGGTTAACCATCAGAGACAACACCTCCTGAGGGACGGAGACATGGGGTTAACCATCAGAGACAACACCTCCTGAGGGACGGAGACACGGGGTTAACCATCAGAGACAACACCTCCTGAGGGACGGAGACATGGGGTTAACCATCAGAGACAACACCTACTGAGGGACGGAGACACAGGGTTAACCAGCAGAGACAACACCTCCTGAGGGACGGAGACACAGGGTTAACCAGCAGAGACAACACCTCCTGAGGGACGGAGACACAGGGTTAACCATCAGTGAACATGCTGTAACTTTGAGGACATTATTATCTACACGCTGTGTGACTGTAACATGTTATTGTTGGTATCTACACACTGTGTGACTGTAACATGTTATTGTTGGTATCTACACACTGTGTGACTGTAACATGTTATTGTTGGTATCTACACACTGTGTGACTGTAGCATGTTAGCATTGGTATCTACACGCTGTGTGACTGTAACATGTTATTGTTGGTATCTACACACTGTGTGACTGTAACATGTTATTGTTGGTATCTACACACTGTGTGACTGTAACATGTTATTGTTGGTATCTACACACTGTGTGACTGTAGCATGTTAGCATTGGTATCTACACGCTGTGTGACTGTAACATGTTATTGTTGGTATCTACATACTGTGTGACTGTAACATGTTATTGTTGGTATCTACACGCTGTGTGACTGTAACATGTTATTGTTGGTATCTACACACTGTGTGACTGTAACATGTTATTGTTGGTATCTACACGCTGTGTGACTGTAACATGTTATTGTTGGTATCTACACACTGTGTGACTGTAACATGTTATTGTTGGTATCTACACGCTGTGTGACTGTAACATGTTATTGTTGGTATCTACACACTGTGTGACTGTAACATGTTATTGTTGGTATCTACACGCTGTGTGACTGTAACATGTTATTGTTGGTATCTACACGCTGTGTGACTGTAGCATGTTATTGTTGGTATCTACACACTGTGTGACTGTAACATGTTATTGTTGGTATCTACACGCTGTGTGACTGTAACATGTTATTGTTGGTATCTACACGCTGTGTGACTGTAACATGTTATTGTTGGTATCTACACACTGTGTGACTGTAGCATGTTAGTATTGTTATCTACACGCTGTGTGACTGTAGCATGTTAGCATTGGTATCTACACGCTGTGTGACTGTAGCATGTTAGTATTGTTATCTACACGCTGTGTGACTGTAACATGTTAGTATTGGTATCTACACGCTGTGTGACTGTAGCATGTTATTGTTGGTATCTACACGCTGTGTGACTGTAGCATGTTAGTATTGTTATCTACACACTGTGTGACAGTAGCATGTTAGCATTGGTATCTACACACTGTGTGACTGTAGCGTGTTATATTGTTGGTATCTACACACTGTGTGACTGTAACATGTTATTGTTGGTATCTACACGCTGTGTGACTGTAGCATGTTAGTATTGGTATCTACACGCTGTGTGACTGTAGCATGTTAGTATTGGTATCTACACACTGTGTGACTGTAACATGTTAGTATTGGTATCTACACGCTGTGTGACTGTAGCATGTTAGCATTGGTATCTACACACTGTGTGACTGTAGCATGTTAGTATTGGTATCTACACGCTGTGTGACTGTAACATGTTAGTATTGGTATCTACACGCTGTGTGACTGTAACATGTTAGTATTGGTATCTACACGCTGTGTGACTGTAGCATGTTGTAGCATGTTAGCATTGGTATCTACACGCTGTGTGACTGTAGCATGTTATTGTTGGTATCTACACACTGTGTGACTGTAGCTAGTTAGTATTGGTATCTACACGCTGTGTGACTGTAACATGTTATTGTTGGTATCTACACACTGTGTGACTGTAGCATGTTAGTATTGGTATCTACACGCTGTGTGACTGTAACATGTTAGTATTGGTATCTACACGCTGTGTGACTGTAACATGTTAGTATTGGTATCTACACGCTGTGTGACTGTAGCATGTTATTGTTGGTATCTACACACTGTGTGACTGTAACATGTTAGCATTGGTATCTACACGCTGTGTGACTAGCATGTTAGCATTGGTATCTACACGCTGTGTGACTGTAACATGTTAGTATTGGTATCTACACACTGTGTGACTGTAGCATGTTAGCATTGGTATCTACACGCTGTGTGACTGTAGCATGTTAGTATTGGTATCTACACGCTGTGTGACTGTAACATGTTATTGTTGGTATCTACACACTGTGTGACTGTAACATGTTATTGTTGGTATCTACACGCTGTGTGACTGTAGCATGTTAGTATTGGTATCTACACGCTGTGTGACTGTAGCATGTTAGTATTGGTATCTACACGCTGTGTGACTGTAGCATGTTAGCATTGGTATCTACACACTGTGTGACTGTAGCATGTTATTGTTGGTATCTACACACTGTGTGACTGTAGCATGTTATTGTTGGTATCTACACGCTGTGTGACTGTAGCATGTTAGCATTGGTATCTACACGCTGTGTGACTGTAGCATGTTATTGTTGGTATCTACACACTGTGTGACTGTAGCTAGTTAGTATTGGTATCTACACACTGTGTGACTGTAACATGTTATTGTTGGTATCTACACACTGTGTGACTGTAGCATGTTAGTATTGGTATCTACACGCTGTGTGACTGTAGCATGTTAGTATTGGTATCTACACGCTGTGTGACTGTAACATGTTATTGTTGGTATCTACACACTGTGTGACTGTAGCATGTTATTGTTGGTATCTACACGCTGTGTGACTGTAACATTTTATTGTTGGTATCTACACACTGTGTGACTGTAACATGTTATTGTTGGTATCTACACGCTGTGTGACTGTAGCATGTTAATATTGGTATCTACACGCTGTGTGACTGTAGCATGTTAGTATTGGTATCTACACGCTGTGTGACTGTAACATGTTAGTATTGTTATCTACACGCTGTGTGACTGTAGCATGTTAGCATTGGTATCTACACACTGTGTGACTGTAGCATGTTAGTATTGGTATCTCCACGCTGTGTGACTGTAACATGTTAGTATTGGTATCTACACGCTGTGTGACTGTAGCATGTTATTGTTGGTATCTACACACTGTGTGACTGTAGCTAGTTAGTATTGGTATCTACACACTGTGTGACTGTAACATGTTATTGTTGGTATCTACACACTGTTTGACCGTAGCATGTTAGCATTGGTATCTACACGCTGTGTGACTGTAGCATGTTATTGTTGGTATCTACACACTGTGTGACTGTAGCATGTTATATTGTTGGTATCTATACACTGTGTGACTGTAGCATGTTATTGTTGGTATCTACACACTGTGTGACTGTAACATGTTATTGTTGGTATCTACACGCTGTGTGACTGTAACATGTTATTGTTGGTATCTACACACTGTGTGACTGTAGCATGTTAGCATTGGTATCTACACGCTGTGTGACTGTAGCATGTTAGTATTTGTATGTACACGCTGTGTGACTGTAGCATGTTAGTATTGGTATCTACACGCTGTGTGACTGTAGCATGTTATTGTTGGTATCTACACACTGTGTGACTAACATGTTATTGTTGGTATCTACACACTGTGTGACTGTAACATGTTAGCATTGGTATCTACACGCTGTGTGACTGTAGCATGTTAGCATTGGTATCTACACGCTGTGTGACTGTAGCATGTTATTGTTGGTATCTACACACTGTGTGACTGTAACATGTTAGCATTGGTATCTACACGCTGTGTGACTGTAGCATGTTATTGTTGGTATCTACACACTGTGTGACTGTAACATGTTAGCATTGGTATCTACACGCTGTGTGACTGTAACATGTTATTGTTGGTATCTACACACTGTGTGACTGTAGCATGTTAGTATTGGTATCTACACGCTATGTGACTGTAGCATGTTAGTATTGGTATCTACACGCTGTGTGACTGAAACATGTTATTGTTGGTATCTACACACTGTGTGACAGTAGCATGTTAGTATTGGTATCTACACGCTATGTGACTGTAGCATGTTAGTATTGGTATCTACACGCTGTGTGACTGTAACATGTTATTGTTGGTATCTACACGCTGTGTGACTGAAACATGTTATTGTTGGTATCTACACACTGTGTGACAGTAGCATGTTAGTATTGGTATCTACACGCTGTGTGACTGTAGCATGTTAGTATTGGTATCTACACGCTGTGTGACTGTAACATGTTATTGTTGGTATCTATACACTGTGTGACTGTAACATGTTATTGTTGGTATCTACACGCTGTGTGACTGTAGCATGTTAGTATTGGTATCTACACGCTGTGTGACTGTAGCATGTTAGTATTGGTATCTACACGCTGTGTGACCGTAGCATGTTAGTATTGGTATCTACACGCTGTGTGACTGTAGCATG